TGTCCATAGATTCCACTCTAGGGACCAGATGCTTTAGTCAAGTATTGAAGCATCCACATCTTTTGGATCTAGCCCTTATCTAACAGAATGTGTCCCTGAGTAATTTTAGCTTCAGAAAAATCTCCATTCAGAGTCAAGGGGTTAATAAGACACCCTTGCTTCACTAGTTACTATCAAACTTCTCTTTCTCAGGTGGCTGGCTGGTTCCTGATTGCAGGGGTAGCCATTACTGTCTTCCTGTCCTATTGTCTGGCAAGATGTCTCTCGCCACTCAGCTTCTTGCACCTCAAGTACTGGGCTAGTTACGTCCGTAATGAGCAAAAACTCTTTGAAGAAGCAGCAGACCTGCACTCAAAGCTCTATGCCACACAACACATCAAGAAGTTCTTTGGTTTGGTCCCAGGGAGCAAGGATTTGAAGGAAATTCGTATCCCTTCCTGTAAAGACTGGCGATCCATTTCAGGTGTTGCTATTCTAAGAATTGTAGATGAAGAACATTATGACTACAGCCTCCTTCATGACTGGGCAGTCAACAGCTCCACAAATGGAAAATATTTTAAGATTGAAGAATCTAGCTCTAAGAACTCTGAGCCTCCACCATCAACTTGAAGAAAATGTGAATGTCTTTTTAATCTTACATGAACTCCAGGTCATCTCAAAGCAGGGGAGTTCCTAGTTTCCTCATCTTGTTCTTTACAGTAGCACGTGCAGGTGCATTCAGTGTTGAATCCTGACTACACGATCTGCTTTTAAGAGTGCTCCTTCATATATTGGCCCTCTTGAGGACATCCTTGTGATGGGACATGATGCTATACACTTGAGATTTGAAAGTCTTCTGTGATCTCACTCCTGATACTGTAAGAGAAGCCAAGGGCGGGCAGTGGAAAATGCAAACTGAAAAGCAGTATATTCCAGCACTTTCTCACTGTTTCTTTTTTAAAATTATTTACTTTTAACCCTGATCTATTGTCATACTAGTGATGACTAACTACACAGTATTTATCTGTTCTCCTTCCTCTCGTATAAAAAAAAAAAAAAGAGAGAGAGCTAGCTAACTGTCCTATACCAGTGATTCAATGGCAAATATTCTTTCCTCATCTACATTGCATGTCATTCATAAAATACAACACAATGTTAAGTACAGGCTTAAATGTATAATAATGTACAGCTATGGATATTGTTACTGGAGACTTTTACAGAAAAGCTTGTTGGTCACAGACTGAAATCTTATACTACTGACTAAAGGCTTGTTTTTCATTTATACTAAATGGAGACTGCTAAAACTGGAATGAATAGGACAGGGGCCATATACTTTACTAACCCAGTGCATTAACACTTTACATCTGAATTAAAGTGTTGTCTCTGACCAAAAATGAAAAGTTCAGCCTTCTCCTCTTATGCACACTTCTATGCTTCTCACTTGCACATGTGTTAACTCACTCAATAATGAAATAAGGAGAAACTTTTTCTAAATACTGTATTTTTATGCATGTTCCTCTCTTTCCCCCTTTCTGTGATGGTTGGTTTTGTGTTGTTTCCCTGGTAGTTTTGTACAAATAAAAACAAAAAAGGGACCAATTACTTGACATTTGTCTTCGATGTCATAACATTCACTCCTACTGGATGCAATGAAAGAAGGATGCTACTTGTTGATGCACAGAATTTGTTATAGATGGGGTAGTTTAATGTGTAGTAAGCTTTGTTATGAATTGTTCACCAACGACTTTGTATTAACATATCTGCAAATTCTTATCTTGAAGGACTAGTCCCTTTTGAAAACTAGTTTGCTCTTGGCACATAACAGAAGTATAACTGAGGGAGGACAGGGGTGACCTGCACAGCAGGCCCTGGTGCTGACTTGGTGGGGGAGGATTGTAAAAATAACTGCTAGTGTCACTGGTGCTTCACAACCAGTAGCATCCTGTGCACTGCCCCCGCTTAGGGGGGGGAGTTAGTGCAGCATTGGTAAGTAAGAGACATGCTTTAGGAGGAAAGTGGAGCATGCCTGGTTGAGGGGGAGGCTTGTTTGCTTTTATTCTGTAAGTAACCAAAAGGAGGTGGCTGTGCAATAAGATTTTTGTGTATCAAATGTAATTAAAAAGAAAGCAGCTGATAACACTTTTCAAATATGAATGAAGAGGTGTGTTTCTTCTAGTTTTTTTTTTATTTTTTCCATTTCCAAGAATTTAGTAGTATAAATGCATGTATCAGTTTCAATGAACTTGCAAATCACTGTCCCACACTATATTAGGAAAAGTTACCTTGACCAATCGAGAAGAGACTTATTTAAATTTTGTGTTTTAACTTTTAAAGCGCACTTTGTTTTTCCATTTTAAATGAGCTTGGACAATAAAAGCTGATGGGTTTCAACTTCATTTCTCCCATGCATCTTATTTTCAAATGATAAACGTAAGTGCTTAAAAGAAAGCCTTGGATGTGATGGTTTTAATTCAATATATATATCATTTTAAATTCATGATTCTTGCATCTTAAAATTTGATGTTTACATACCCTAAATCAAACTGCCTTCCTGAAAGCACTCTTCCCTTCTAAACATAAAGTAAAAACCTTTTTGAAGATTTGCTTTCAATGCAACTTGATATTTCTGGGATTGGGAATTTGCTTATAAATACTAATGACTACTATATAAAGGATATTGTGTAGCTTGTGATGTAAAACCTAGAGGCTTGCATCTCAAGACAGCATGCCATAGCTAGCAAAAAAAAGAAATTAGCTGGTTTGAAATATTGTAGTTTGTCTCTCTAAGTATATTAAGACTAGCACAGAATGAGGCATAGCTTTCAAAAGAATTTGTGACTATAGGAAATCAGTAAGTTGGCACTGAGTGAAATAACCATGTTGTCTGAACCCTGAGTCATCTCCTCCAAAATCAATTTATGCTTCTAGCTTGATCACTTTGGAGCTCAAATAGTCCATTTTACTTCTATTCTAAAAGCAGCTATTGCTAATGGCTGGTAAAAACAGGCAGGGCTGGCAGTGCTGATCCTAATCCTAGCAAAATGGTTTATTCTAAAACCATTCCATGTCTACCAGCTCATCTCTGACTTGTTCCCCCACAATTCTAACATTTTAATCATGGTTTGCCTTAAACCAGGTAATTCACAGCTGATGCTCTATACTTTGGCCTTGGCTCAGCTCATCACAGACATCAGTTTATCTCCCAGGGAGAATCTGTTTTGTGTGTGGCAAATCCTCTGCTCGAATCACAGTCTCTCCTCACCCCACCCCCTTTTCTTCCCTGAAGAGTTCTGGCTCAATTGATAGGAGCTGCTATCTGGCAATAAGACCCCTGCCCACTCCAAATAATGCGTTATTTTGGGTAATCAACTGTGAAACTACTTTTTAAGGAAAATATAGTATGTTCAGTTGGAATGAACAATAAGCAACCCCCAGATCACGTTTTGGTGAAATGCCTATTCATGATGTTCCTAATGATGTTCATGACAACAGAGAGGGTAGTCCTTTCTGTATTTAAAAGTAGTTTCATGACAGTGCTTCATCTAAATAATTATCCATTCTCATGCGGTGGGGGGTGTAAATGATTAATTGAATCTGAATGCTACCTTATTTTGGACCAATTTAAGGGTGAGGGCCTATTTTGCATGCTGTGGGGAAAGTGTTCTAGGATGGTTCTGAGACTAGCATTCAGATTCCTGTAACATTTTGTGTGATGGTTCAATATTTTCCTCTCTTCCTCTCCCCGTAATTGCAGTGTTGCCTAGGCAGAACATCAGCTGATGAAGGATAAGATTTGCTGTTTGTAAATAATTCTTCTTCCTCCCTAGAGTTTACTCTCCAGTGTTTTTAAGAGGAAATTTTAGCACAAGGACAACTAAGTATAACCTGGCTGTAAATACATTTTAAATTGGAAGATTTGGGGGGTGGGGGGTGCAGTTGTGCCTTCCAACTATCAGAATTTGGCACTAGATTTATGACCCAGATACCTTGTTCCATCCTGGCAGACCCAAACCTTCAGATTGACCACGACCTCTGCATTTGATAATATGCAAATTTTTTTTATACAAAGTGATAGCAGGTAAGAATAATACAACTAATTCTATATCTACCAGTCCTAGGGCTGTCATTAGAGTCAAGGTGTGTCTGGCCAGGACATGAACTTCACTCGGAGGTTCTCTCTTGAATGTCAGATGCCCTCAGTCAGGGGTTGAGCCCCTCCTCTCCCCCCTCCTGCTCCCTAGTGGGGTGGATGAAACGGGCTGGTGGTATGCCCTCTGTCCATGGTGCCTTAAGTTCCCCTCTTGGGGTCCCTTTATGGCTCTGAAATCCCTTCTTTTGTATTCTTTCTCCATCCTGATGACTCTTCATCCATAGGCACTGTTGATTGGTCTTTCTGTAGTTGTCATACTGTCCACTTCTCTTCTGTCGGCATATTCCTTTATTTCACAAGCCCATCACATGCACACATCCTAATTTGGGCTTTCCTGGTCTTCTCCTAATATGGTCTGTTCCCCAGAACTGGAAATCTCAAGGGCTCTGCGCTTGGGCGCTAAGAGTTGGAGCCACCTTATTTCATGTTGTTATGGAACAGTATGGGACATGCCTACAATTTCCCAGCCTGTGTGTCTATCCCTGTCTGCCTTGAAGACTTTGAAACTGTGAGACAATCAGGCTTTTAGAAATCAATTAACCCTTGCTGTTGCCCTGGACCATTATTCTAATGCATATCTACTTTACCTACAAGCCAATGCATATCTACTTTATTAAAAGCAAACCTCTAAATACCATTTTCTAATCATCACAGAAGGGCAAAGTTCTGGAACAACCTCCTGACATAGGTATTTTGCCCCTAAACTCCTAACTAGTATGAAGATGGGACTTGTGTTGTAGTTTCATGCGACTAGAAGGGACCTCTTAAATCGACCTCACTGGGCATATCCCCGTATGCAGGGGCATGTGTTTACCACGGCACAAATAACAGATCTGTGCCTTTGCTTTGTTGCCCATGGCATGCTCCTGCAAGCATGCTCTAGTGCATGCCAAATTATCCTGGGTGAGGTAGGCTGGCTAAGGCCAGCACCTGTGCTGTCCCAGCAGCCTTACCTGGGGTCCTAGGGACCTCCTGGGGTAGCACCAGTGCTGATCTGGCTGCCTGGAGTCTTGCTAAAACCCAGAGCATGGCTCTGGATGGTCAGGCTCTGTTTCTAGTGGCAAGCCTTGCTGCTGCATGCACTGCGCTGCTTTTATGCAGTATTTTTCTTGACAATCTCCTGGTGTCAAATTTTGGTACTGTGCTGCAAATTAGCAGTGCAACGAATGGTTGCATATACACCACTTGCAGTTTGCAGTGTCTTGAATAGCTCTGAGGCGCTGCAAACTGCACATGCATGCTCGTCTGGATGCCTTTAGGATAACTTCTAAAGAGGATGTCCTATGACTGGTGTCTGATACCAGCTTAGCCCCTATAAAGTTTTTGTTTGAAGAGTGTTTGATTGAACGTGGAATTGCTGTCTGCCTGCTACCAAAGCCCTGTCCTAATGGCTACTCTCTCTCCAGATAAAAGCATTGTTCAGCAACTGTGGTATATATAAAGCAGTGAATCTCAACCAGGGTGCTGTGGCATCTTAGGGTGCTGTAAGATCTTTTGAAAGGTGCCTCAAGGTGTGAGACTATGAGCATACAAGCACAAGCTCAGGCTTATCCCTGCCTGATTTCCCC